CGTATCGCCTCTTCGATGTCGGCGGTCAGCGAAGCGAACGAAAAAAATGGATCCATTGCTTTGAGAATGTTACGGCCCTTGTGTTCTTGGTCGCCCTTTCCGAATATGATCAGATGCTTTACGAAGATGAATCTGTGAATCGAATGCAGGGTTAGTGGTTCTACCTCACTTTGAATGATTGAGGATAGGAAGGCCGTAAGGGAGGTTACATGGGCTTTTTCCACTGAGAGACTACTCGAGAAACTCCATATAGGGGTATATGCTGCTCGGCCGACACTCAGCAAATCAAATGTATGTATACACTAATTCTGCCATTGAAGATGATAACTGACTCCCTTTGCAGTCGTGTTGAGCGCCATTCAAGATATTCTCTTACAGTTGCACCTGCGTGAATGCGGTCTACTGTAAAGGATAAACTCTTACCTTGAAGTAACCCTCCGTCCGATTTCAAGGAGTTCATGATTTTGAATCATCTCCGAAACAGGCTTCCTATAATTTATGATTCCAACTCCAGTCTCTCTTTCAACTCTGTTTCTGCGAAGGACCCTCACGAGTTTCAGCTCTACGCTTCCTTAATGTTCATGACCACTTCAAACGGATGGATCCTCTTGAAATCATTTCTGTCCCTGTAACAATGCGGTGGCTCATCCCCCATGCTCTCCCTAGCTCTGGTTCATTAATCCTGTACATTCTCTCTCCGACTGATGATAAATACAACCCAGGACCAATAGGCTCTAGAAACTGTTCCTTTCTAGAGCTTTTTCTTCCGATCGTTCTCGTTCCCAAATCCATCTTCTATGCATCTTCTGTTCCAGAATTCGCATAGCTATCTACCAGTCGTTGCCTTTGTGATCTAGCTCTATCGTAATGTACATTTTCAAACAAGCCCTCTTTTTTCATCACCTCTGGATCCTTTTCGTTAGAGAACTGCCATACTTAGCTAAACATGTTGCTCCTGGTGGGGTTGACCACAGCTTAAACCATAGCAACGACTAGCCTGGACCTCTGACCTACATCAATGTCAAAGCTGCTATCAAGTGCACTCGTTTTAATAGATCTTCAAAACGATTTTCTGGCCTCTTCAGCTCCGTTCGCCGTCGACCTAGGCTCACAAGAATCTTTACGAACCGCCTTGGAACGCCTGGTGCCCTTTTTCCGAGACTCAGGAGGGCATGTTATTTGGGAACGAGAACGATCGGAAGAAAAAGCTCTAGAAAGGAACAGTTTCTAGAGCCTATTGGTCCTGGGTT